CTGGCTACCTAAATATTTAACCTAAATATTTAGCTAGCTACCTAAATATTTAACTTTAATGTTTAACTGGCTACCTAAATATTTAACTTTAATGTTTAACTGGCTACCTAAATATTTAGCTAGCTACCTAAATATTTAACTTAAATATTTAACTGGCTACCTAAATATTTAGCTAGCTACCTAAATATTTAACTTAAATATTTAACTGGCTACCTAAATATTTAACTTAAATATTTAACGAGCTACCTAAATATTTAACTTAAATATTTAACTTGCAACTTAAATATTTAGCTAGCTACCTAAATATTTAACTTAAATATTTAACTGGCTACTTAAATATTTAGCTAGCTACCTAAATATTTAACTTAAATATTTAGCTAGCAACTTAAATATTTAGGTGGCTACATAAATATTTAAGTTTCAAGCTAAATATTTAGCTCAAAACTAAATATTTAAGTCACAAATCAAATATTTAGCTTGTTAAGTAAATATTTAATTTGTAAGTTAAATATTTAGTTTATAAACTGACATGACATTTATAAATGTATGAATCATATGGTGAAAAACTGACTGAAAAATAAATCTGTTCCTTTTTCCTTATAAAAGGCTAAATAAAATAAAACTATTGGTGGTAATTTTTGACTGTGTAACTTTACAAACAGCACCCCATAGTGTCTTGACCTGAAAAAAGGGGTATGAGCTATTAAACATTTAACAGCATGACTGGCTTTTCATTAGCCAGATATTTAGTATTCATTACAGATCCATTACCTTCTCTTTAAGATTGACCTTTAGTGCCTTTCTCTCTAATGGACTCAGCTCACCCGAAGCTATAAAGTTGTTTAGCTTTTCTAAAATCAACACCCATAAACATGACTGATGCACGTTTTCATTAAATGCTCCATTTTTTGCAACCATACAGGACAAAAAACACTGACCCTATTCCCGATTTCATTCCTGAACATTCAGGTGTCAGTCTGAAACTTCGCGAGAATTCAGATGATAGAGAAAAAATCTCACGTGACCTCCAGAGAGATGTGAGTTCAGAGTAAATAAATGTTTGAGARGAGAAAGAAAAAATGTTCGTTTGTGGACTATTTTTACCAGAGAAAAAATTCAAAATGACTTTTAACATCCAGCGGATTTTCTGCTGAGTCATGACAGTTTTTTGTCTTCTGTATTTTGGATTCCACCTCCATGTTTACATTACATGGCTTTCTGATTGGCTACACGTCTCATTCAGGCTGTGAGCTTGTTTGTTTTCGGGTGAACACCATACACGCTGTGATACTGAGCAAAAAAAAAAATTCATCAAACATGTTGAATATCCCCAATTTGAGGTCAGAGTGGTCCTTCCAAACCGACTAGATCACTCTTAACTTACCACACACGGCAGGAATATCTGCTAATTTTATCTTTAGAGTCATCACGATAATCTGGACGTCCTTAACATTGTCAGAAGGATCAAAATCAGGCATCAAAAACATGACGGTTAGGTTAATTGATAACTCTAAATTGTCCCTAGGTGTGAGTGAAAGAGTGAATGGTTGTCTATTTGTGTGTCCCTGTGATGGACTGAAGACCTGTCCAGGGTATACCCTGCCCCTCACACTGTGACTGCTGGATATGGGTACCAGTAGCTGCGTTTCCATTGCAAATGTGTGCAAAACTTTGTTGATATTCTGTTAATGTTGAAAAACACAGTTTCGCAACTGTGGTGTTTCTATTAAATAAGAAATGATATTAAAGTCACGCGTGAGTATGTTTGTTCTCGTGATAAATCATTACAAACATGCAGCGATGGATGTAAACACATAACATGTTGCTACCATGACACTAGCGCTCATCATCAGAGGGAACGTCGGCGTCTTTTATTGAGGGTTTCCAGAGACAAGTCCCTACTTGGAGCGGCTACGTATGCTGTGTTTTTGGGAAATTGTAGTCGGTGAGTTTACTATTTTTTTTACAACTTCGTTGATTTCTCTACTACTTCTACTTCCTGTTAACTTCTTCGTCGTTGTCTTTTTCACCAGTAGAAACAGCCGGTTGTTGATCACGTGACTCCTGTGACGCGAAAAAAAAGTGTTTCCATTGCAGTTTTGCGAAAAACACCAATTTTGATAAGGCCGAAAAACCACCTCATCCTAGTGCAAAAACATTTTGTCGAAGAAAGGAAGTTTTTTTTTCAAAATTGATGTGTTTCCATTAAGCAAATTTATTTTCGAAATTCTAATTTGCGCATTTTCATGGTCAACGGAAACACAGCAAGTGACCCCTGTGACCCTGAAAGCAATAAGCGTGTACAGAAAATGGATGGATGGTATCGTGAGATTTTGGTTTTTACACTTATCGATGATTTTTATACTTTCAAAGTTTTTATTGTTACTTCTCTGCTGTTCTGCTCTTTGAAAGGCAACACAGYGAGTCTGAAAAGTTGATGTTAGTAATTATTTGGTTGGTTATTAGCCTTCTTAACGAATCTACATTAGGTTGTTTGTAGTTCAGTTGCTAACATGCTAACTCATGTAGCTTGTTGCAGTTTCTCTCGAAACATGGAAAGCGATATGGGTGCTGCTTCAGTGGTAGACAAGCTATGACTGATTCTGTCAGATAAAGGATTTGTTAATTTCAGATTATTCTTTAATCAGATGGTGGTACAGGTCAGGCAGGGCTTCTCTTGTTTCTCCTCTTTCATACTGAAGTCCTGTTGTCAGTGATCTACTTAGAGTTCACCTCCTCCTGTTGTACTCCAGGATCTTAACTGTTTTATGTCTGATGCCTCTGACTCTCTTCAGTCTCAGACTGCTGGACTTGTAGTGAAAGCCTCTGTTCACTATGAGGAGCTTTTGATGTCATGTTACATATCATGCTCCTGTGCCCTCCTTTAGCAGGACTGTTATACCACTGGAGTATTGGATGACTGCCTTGCAGGGCACACCTGGTGATGGAWCAGACTTTGTTCTTGCCTTTCAGCTGGCTCTTCAGCACCTGCCGTCCTKTCTAGAGGACTTTGGTTGTGGCTGATTTTCTTGCAGCTTCATCATGGTTGCCATTTTTCTGTGGGACTTTCAAGATTACAATGTCTTTGCTGTATATCTAGATAAAACTTGGTGAAAAGACTTCAGGTCTTTAAGAAGGTGGTTTGCTTTTTGCTCTTTTTGTTAACCAGTATGCTAATATAATGTCTGTCTCAATACACTGTACAAGATTCAACTCATTAAGGATCCATGATGTTTGGACCTACCTGAGTTTCAGGAATAATGGGCCCATTGTCATGAGATCCTCTGTAAAATGTAGACAGAGGAGAAGCAACGATGACTGGACTGGGTCTGACAAATCCACTGAGGTCACAGCTTGGAATATCATTCTCCTCCTGAAATGACCCAACAAACAGAAGTTGGAACAGAAAGTTGTGTTTTGATAATCTATGTTGTCCCTCAGGCAGAAAGAAGACACACCTTCTTCATGACCAGCGTGTCCATCACATAGAAGACGTTCCACGGAACCCACACGGTTCTGTACTGAGTGAGAAAAGGAGCACGCTCGAAACCTAACGTTAACGAGGCTCCTCCACTGGCCAGGAGATCAAACCTGCAATCACACAAGTCAGGAAAATTGTATTTTAAGTGGTAAATCAACACCARAGTGAGCTAACTAAAGATATATTTTATATGATAATCTTCTGGTTCCACGTTGAGATAAAAATGATTCTAATGTTTAATGATAAAGTGTCTGTGACAGGCCTATCCTTCAAATACAAAAAGTCAAAGAAAATATCTTCATGTTTAAGGAAATTGGCATTAACACATGATTTACCCGAATTTTGTCACATACAGTAACTGGCATATTTTCTTTTGAATTTGGCTCAGCTAAAGTGAAACAGGAAGTGACATCATAGGGGAACTCTTTAAGAATGAAAACTCTCTGGTCTTTGTTTATTAAAACAATATTATTTGAACTCTGACTTTTCTTCATCTCTCTCTTATAGGGACTAAAATTATCTAAAGAAACAGAAAATTCCCTTCTGTCTGTGTTGTTAGCCATTGTAGCAATGCTCTGTTTACGTGCAGACCCTTTGACATCACTTCCTGTTWCTTCACATGCAAATATCTCAACAACTGTTCATCTCAGTGGTGTGAAATTGCTTTTGCAATATGTTATCCATGTTATCTTTCTAAAAGTGCAATCACATTTATCATAAAAAAATTGATATCACGGACACTTCAAGTTTTTATAGGTAGTAAATCAAACAGATTTACTTGGCTTCAAAAAAAAGCACAGAACTCCAAATACTCAGAGAACGAGACAAGAATGTCTTCTGAAAACATAAACCTGCAGGAAGTGTTATCTCAAAATAAACAACAAGTAACAAATCTGCTTGTGAGGCATAAAAATATAAACAGTAAATATATAGAAWGCTCATTCTTGTTCCTCCATTCTTACATGATGATATTATGCTGATACATACATTAATTAGGCTGCCACAACACAGTCCAAGATAAACCAAATGTTTTATAAATATACTCTGTGTGTGTGTGTGTGTGTGTGTGTGCACGTGTTTGTGTGTAAACCCAAAACCAAGCCTTTAGTTCAGTTAGAAAGTTGTGTCCCCATGCGGAACCACTAGTCAATGGATACACTAAGTCCCCACGAATGTGGAAAAACAAGTATGTGTGTGTGTGTGTGTGTGTGTGTGTGTGTGTGTGTGTGCACGTGTTTGTGTGTAAACCCAAAACCAAGCCTTTAGTTCAGTTAGAAAGTTGTGTCCCCATGCGGAACCACTAGTCAATGGATACACTTAGTCCCCACGAATGTGGAAAAACAAGTATGTGTGTGTGTGTGTGTGTGTGTGTGTGTGTGTGTGTGTGTGTGTGTG